ATTCACAGATACAAAGAAAGTGACAAAGTCACATGTTCCTGCTATGAATGCCCCTGCCAGAATCGAAATCCTAGCAGAGAATTCTGAAAAATCTCTTGCAAATGATTCTTCTATACGCAAAAAGTGTGGCAGGCCACTTGGATCGAAAGATATAAAACCAAGAAAAACTAAAAGACATGAATTGATCTGTGATGCCAAAAATGTTCATCCTTCTGAAAAAGAAAATGAACAATTTGAAAATATTGGCATAGAAAATGATATTGACAAAACAAACATCTCAAATGATGATCCAACTTCCTTAAACGAGGAAGATATTCCAGATAACGATAGAAACGATGATAATTATGAAATTTCAATAAACTGCGTTTCTACGGGAATGCAATGGAATCAAAAAGATATTGATATTAATGAGATATTTGTCTATGTTGTTGCCACAAATGTTATGAATGAAAACAATGAAAATGAGCCAACATCAATTGAAGAATGTCGGAAACGACACGATTGGCCAAAATGGAATTAAGCTATTCAGGCTGAATTAAAATCACTTGAAAAATGTGATGTTTTGGACCGATAGTCCCTACGCCAAAAGGCGTAAAACCAGTGGGCTTTAAATGGGTATTTGTGCGTAAACACAATGAGAAAAATGAAATCGTAAGATATAAAGCCCGACTTGTTGCCCAAGGGTTTTCTCAAATGCCGGAAATTGATTATGAAGAAACCTATTCTCCAGTAGTTGATGCAACTACATTAAGGTTTCTCATTGGCATGTCTGTTTTTGAAAGGCTGCAAATGTGTCTAATGGATGTAGTAACTGCATATTTATACTGTTCACTCGATACAGACATTTATATGAAAGTTCCCGGAGGATTTAAAATGCCTGAAGCTTATAGCTCGAAACCTCGAGAAATGTTTTCCATTAAACTATAGAAGTCATTGTATGGACTAAAACAATCTCGACGAATGTGGTATAATCGTCTCAGTGAATATCTTCTCAAAAAAGAATATAAGAATGATCCAATTAGTTCATGTGTTTTCATTCGGCGATCAAATTCGAGATTCGTCATAATTGCAGTATATGTTGATGTCTTAAACATTATTGGAACTCTCGATGAAATTGAAAATACTGTAAAATATCTTAAGAAGAAGTAATTTAGATATTTTTATCTATATATCTATCTCATATCTATACTCAATCTTCTTCGTTTCACAACAAGTAGCCTATTTTGAGGTTTCTTTATTTGACATATAAAAATCGTTTATAATCCAAAATCATTTAGCCATGATAAATTTATGAAACCTGCTAACGTATTTACTAGGTGGCATGTTGATGTGACAAATGATCATTCATCACGCCAACATGATACATAGTGCATTGTAAATATATTAGTGTGCTCCATATATAATTCTATATTTCTATTCAATGATAGAACTAATTACGCTTTGTTATCCATCTTTAAGAGTGCAAAGCTACATTTATAAATTGTTTGTTTTCTACGTTGGTTCATTATTTCCTTTAGCGAGAACAGAAGACTAAGGATGTTTTTACTTGGACCGTAATTTGCTGGTCTGGTCAGGTATGATCTGATCTGATCTGAATTGGTCTGGTCTGATTTCTTTGTATCTTTATAACTATCCAAGTCTGGTCTGATCTGGTCTGATCTGAACTAGTGTGGTCTGGTCTGGTCTGGTCTGGGACGAATTACAGTCCAAGTAAAAACATCCTAACATTCAAATTCGTTATGATAATTCTTTTAATGACTAGCTCAAGTAAAGACCTCAAAAATATTTGTACTCGTTGAGATTAGGTAATAATCTCAAGCTCCGTGAACATTTTCGCACATTTTAATGTTTCACTCTGAGGTCAGACTTAAAAAAGATCATATTTAAATAGATTAGACCAGAGTACCAGACACTGACGGTTATAAAATACACAGAGATCATTGATAGTATAAAACTGTTATTGTTTATGTTTGTAATTTTAACTAGTTTTATTTGTTGTTATTTGGGAAATTACACACTTTTAGTGTAATTTCATCAAGAAGTTAAGAGATTAAATGATACTATCAAGTCGATATACGGCGGTGTTCTATACTTGACTAATAGTAAGGGTTATTAATGAACGGTCATTGTTAATAACTACCCTCGATGAATTAGGTATACAAATCATGAACGATTGAGTATTCGAGAGGGAATAAGTTATAGATATAACAATGATCGACTAAAATATATCAACAAGTGGAAAGTAGCAATGCCAAGTTCTTTTATCTTTGAATTAAAACACATATAGGTTGTTTTAGGGATGGACCCGAGCCGGTCCGGGCCGGGCCCGGTTCAATGTCTAATTTTTTTTTTTGCTTTCTTGTTATCCCCTGACCCCCCCCCCCCTCACCCCCACCCCAAAACCTCCCCAAAACACCCAGCCCTACCCTAGGAAAAGAAAAAAAAATTGAAAAAAACAAAAAAAAAATGACTCGGGCCCGGCCCGAACCGCCCGAGCCGGTTCGCCCAAAACTGGGCCCGAGCCCAGCCTGCCCGACCCGCCCAAACGGGCTAAAAGCTCGGAACCGGCCAACCAGTCCCAGTCCGGTCCAGGCCCGCACAGTAGCGGGCCGGGCCGGTTCCGGGTCGGGTCGGCTCGGTTTAGTCCATCCCTAGGTTGTTTATCTTAGTTTTTAAATTAAATCATTCAATCCCAAAATCTCCCTTTTATTTACTAGTTTCATAAAAAGAGAATTATTCTTTTCCCTGTGGATACGAACTCTACTTCACCTATACTACGTATTAGTGCTAGTTTTGAATTTATTTTGACGCACCGTGACAAAGTGCTCGTCAATCATACACCTACAAGATTAAACCAGATTTAAACAAATGAAGCCAGACTAAGAGGCCGTTTGGCAACACTGTTTTTTGGCTTATAAGGCCTATCAGCCAACTTTTCACCAAACACGTAACTTTTGCTTTCGCGCGCTGAATTGTGTAATAAGCAGAAAAAATAAGGTTGGAGTTACTTTTCTGGCTGTATTGATTGAAGTTACTGTATATGACCATTTTAGCTATTTTTACATATAACTTTTTCTTTATTTTATTAATAAAATATATTTTAAAAATAATTTTTTCTTAAATCAGCAGAATCAACCAATGCAGCCACTTCAGCCAGAACTTTATAAATTTCAGCAGAATCAGCCAAATCAGCCGATTTTCGTGCTACCAAACGGGCTCTAAATCAAACCAGATATTTTTCAATACTTTTCAATACAAGTAAAAACATCTTAATACTGCATATCTTTGAAGCTTGACAGATGGCAAAGCAAACTTCTTGAAAATGTTCTCGTTGAACTTAGAAATTAAAGTTCACATATTCACAAATTAAAAGATGAGATCAAAATTGAACTTAAATGAGAAAAATTTGATATAAAATTAGAGATCAAAATTGAACTGCATCGACTAGTTAATAGTAACCTATTAGTTTCATGTTGGAACATACGTAGTACTTTTTCATTGTGAACCTATTAGAAATTTGTAGCAATTAACTAGTTAACTAATATGAGAAATGTAAAAATTAACTAGTTTTGTTATTTTAATGAGATATGTAGCAATTAACTAATATGAGAAATGTAAAAATTAACTAGTTTTTTTTACTTTAATGAGATATGTAGCAATTAACTAATATGAGAAATGTAAAATTGTAGCAATTAACTAATTAACTAATATGAGAAATGTAAAAATGTAGCAATTAACTAATTAACTAATATGAGAAATGTAAAAATGTAGCAATTAACTAATTAACTAATATGAGAAATGCACAAATGTAGCAATTAACTAATATGAGAAATTTAAAAATATAGCAATTAACTAATTAACTAATATGAGAAATGTAAAAATGTAGCAATTAACTAATTAACTAATATGAGAAATGTAAAAATGTAGCAATTAACTAATTAACTAATATGAGAAATGTACAAATGTAGCAATTAACTAATATGAGAAATGTAAAAATATAGCAATTAACTAATTAACTAATATGAGAAATGTAAAAATGTAGCAATTAACTAATTAACTAATATGAGAAATGTAAAAATGTAGCAATTAACTAATTAACTAATATGAGAAATGTACAAATGTAGCAATTAACTAATATGAGAAATGTAAAAATGTAGTATATATAAATATATAATGTGTAAATATATTACAAGTAATATATAATATAATGTACAACTATATTCTAAGTAATATATAATATAATGTATAACTATATATAGTATATATAAATATATAATGTGTAAATATATTATAAGTAATATATAATATATATGTATAACAATATATAGTATATAATATAATGCGTAAAGAATTATAATATGAATGTGTATAAGTATATATTTATAAGTAGATAATTAATATTATAATATATAAGTAGATATAATAATTATATAAATTATATATATGTAGAAAGAATTTGGAGAAGATGAAGAATGAAGATGATTGAATATGAGAGATTAAGGAATAGAGAATTTAGATTTTAGAGAGTAGAAAGAGTTGTAGAAGAAGAGGTGTAAAAAATGTATAGAAAATAGGAGTATAAATAGGTTTTTTTTTGTATACCTCACCCCCACCCCCACCCCACCCCCCCTAACCCCCCAGACCCCCCCTCCTATGCTCCCAACGGCTATAGAGCCGTTTGGGAGGTCTCCCAACGGCTAGTAGAGCCTTCAAATTTTTTTAAAATTTTTTTTTTTTTTTGTGACCGTTGAGGCCCGGACCGGGCCGGTTCACCAAATTATAAGCCCGGGCCCGAACCGCTACATGACCGGGTCGGGTGGCCCGAACCGTGACCTAACCAACAAACCGGGCCGGTCCGGGCCCGCACAGTAGCGGGCCGGTCCGGTTCCGGGCCGGTTGGCCCGGCCCGAGTCCACCACTACTATTAGTTATGGAGTATATATCAGCAGTTTTAACATACGCAGTATCTTCTACGGTAGTAGTATAACTGTTTTAACATACGGACTTGTGGAGTATCTTTTATGAAAGCTGTTAAAAAAGCTCAAAAAGAAAACCACAAAAGAAACAAAACTTATATTTTTGTTGCACTGGCTACAGCAGTTACATGCCCCTCCGCCCAATAATACATAGATGAGAATTACAGGTATGAAAAATCAAGAGAGTGCAACGAGGGAGGGGTACCAAGGTTGACAGGTCCTTTATTCTTTTGGTAAGGAATAAGAGCTTAAAAAGTAATAGAAAGTAAAAAAAAAATCAAAAAATCCATTACGACTAACCATTTCCATAATCCGGCTTTATATTCATCCAAGAATTGTAATGGAGACCAAGATGCGTCGGACATCGATGAGCAACTACATCACAGCTTAGAGTTTTGATTTATATATATACTCTAGTGAAGTTGGAACGGAAGATGTATGTTGCAGTCACTTTCTTTAAAAGAATTGGCTCCTTTCCCCGTCTTCTTTATAAACAGCTCAGCTTCATCCACCATTCCTAACCACAAATTGTACACATAAGCTGCCCTGGCACCCATAACAGACTCGCCTTACTGTTACCTTTTCCAAACTCCTGCAAATCTAGCAAAGTTGTACGAAACTACTGTTCCAAAACTTCATAATAAGCATTATGAACACATAAACCCCTTGAATTTAGAGAAATTGCCCTAAATAGGAGTAAATGAGGTTTGGAATTCCAAAATAGGACTACTATGTTTTTCTTTCCAAAATAGAAGTTGTTACTGACATGTATGAAAAATACTGTCATGATTGAAAAATATTGGCAATAATTATAATAAATATTGCCATGTTAAATGCACTGTACTGCAACTATTTGACAGTAACGCATACACGATACCGATAAATATTGTCATGTTAGACCTATTTCGAAAATAAAAACATAATAGTCCTATTTTGGAATTTCAAACTTCATTTACTCCTATTTTGAGAAATCTCCCTTGAATTTATTTGTGCGCATATAGTAATGACATGCATTACCCCCCACCCCACCCCCCACTCCCCCACACACACAAAAGGCCAAACTGTAAGTAACAACACAGGGCCCTATAGATTAATTGGCTAGATTGGTCACATTTGCATATCAACATTGTACTCCTGCTCTCAAATGACAGATCTTGCCTGAATGATAGAACGTGAGTACACAACAAAGGTTACACAGCCAATCATTCTATGAAAAGCAAACAATTATAGCATTAAACTTAGGGTCATATGAAGATGAGTTACATGAGGAAAAGGTTATAGTTTTTCTTACCGATTTATATCTTGTCAAAATCATCATCAAACCCATCGTCACCATCATCTGACATATATTAGAGCATAGTAAGTCCGATGAGAAGTAATGCATAGACATGACTAAAAATAATTGTTTTCCATTTGTGTGAAGGTTTCAAACAGAGCTATATAATAATTACTACGTAAAAGATTAAATTAAACCTCCCAATAAGCCTGTATTATCACTATCAGTATGATAACACTGTAATGTGTAATAGTTTGCTAACATATGCACATGTAACACCCATCATCATCATCATTATCCCAGTCCCGCAAAGGCTCCGACCTACGATGGGGTAAGGGGGGTTGGATGTATGTAGTCTTACCCCTACCCTAGAGCACAGAGGGACTGTTTCCGGATGACCCATAGTGAAAAACACGCCGAAAATTGCATGGACCGACTGTTGCTTCATAATAAAGAAGCGCAGACAGTTCAGTGAACCATTTTGCTTTATTCCATCATATTCCCAGGCCAAAAAATAGTAAGTCTTTGGCTCCATTGCAAATCATGGAAAAAATGCACATGTAACACCCAATTACCCAAAAAGGATAGCCCACAAGTGTGTGTCTGCTTGCTTGCTATTTTTGGAAATTACGGGAGGGGGGGGGGGGGGGGGGGGGCTGATAAAATCGTAACAGGCGAGGAATTTAACACATCATGCATCTGTTGAGCCAGAAATTCCTTTTTGGCTAACCAATTGTCAACCTAGTTTGCTTTTTAGTAAAAGAGAAATGTGAATGATAGTATGATACAAAATGCAGAGAAAGAGCGACCTATATCTCAACAAAGGTGGGGGCTCATGCCCTGACAATATCTTCCTAATAGTGTGAGTAAAGAAAATAATTTTCCTACTAAAAACCAATTGCCCCCATTGGTTATTTTTCTTACCCCAACAGAATGACACAAGACAAATTGAGTTGAACTGCATTAAGAAGGCAACAATTTACTTTAACAAGTTAAATGATAATTGCCTATTGATCCAAGTTATTTTTAAACTAACACAATAATTTCTCATTTTGTTCTAAAAAAGTATACGTTGAACTATGAACTATAAGTTCAAATAGTATTAAAATATTTATTTTATTTTATTGACTTCTCATGAATAAGATTAAAATGGTAAGTATTGTGAACTGTGTAGAAAAAGTGATAATTTAAGCGAGAAGATGAATAAGTAGAGAAAGTAGGTAGAGAAGATGACAACATAAGGATAAGTGAAAACAGTAAACAGACCATCAAAAGAAAGTGGAGCAAGTAAAAAACAGATGGAGTAATAGATCGATGTAGTCATAGTTGATGATTTAAAAAGTAAACAATTAGATGATGAATTTATAATAGAATATAAATCGGCTATTAGCCCTAAATGGGGCTAAAAGCAGCTCTAAAATTCCACAATAGGACTTTAATCCTTTTATTCCCGAAATAGGAGTAATACATGTCTCTTCTTCCTATTCTACCCCCTTCCTATAATTTCTAATTAGTTTATTTATTAATAAAAAATCATAGTTTTATTTATAATAAAAACATAAAAATCGTAAAGATATTTATAAATTAATAATAAATTCGGGAAACAGAATTTTGTTGAGCATTCTGTTAAAATACTTAAAGGTGGACTTAAATGGTACTTTAACAAATGTTCAACAGAATTTTAGGGAAACCACAAATGACAAATGTGATACCCAAGAATATAAATATGTTTTGTAAAGAGTGAAAATACAAATTATGTATGAAGTAGTTAGAGTGCTAGACTAGTATTTTATTTCTTTTTCCTTCATTCTGTACTTTTCATGTGCTGATAAGTGTGATAAAAGAGCAAGAAAAATCAATACATTCTACTTGACCATGGATCAATTCCTTTATACTGTACCTGGTCCATCATCACTGTCCTCTCCTAGGAGGAAAACATCCAAATCTTGCTCAGAAGTTGATGCCGTTGTCTTCTTACTATTATGATCTATTCCATTGACAGTGGTTTTAGAAGTGCTACCGGATGAAGAAGTGACCATTTCCACCTCAGTCTTTGCCCTTTCAGCAGCTTTTAGTTCTGCTTCTTCCAAATATCTCTTTTCATAACTAAGCAAGATGCGGAAACACAAAATTCAGGTGTCAGACCCTGTTTAAGAAATATCAATAAGAATACCCATTGTATTGCTTTCATCTTAAACTTCGTATTTCTTATATTTCTATTGATGTAAGGAACAGTGGAGAAGCATTTCCTGTGAAAAGTTCACCAAGCAAGAAGAATTGAAGTATACACTTACGGGGCAACATGGCTTTGAACTAGAATGAAATAGATTCTCCAGAATTTTCTCTCTCTCATAACACGAGGGCATAAGGCGTACCTTAGTTTAGATATTTCCTGGAGTATAACCTTAAATTAGATATGCACTAGTGTTAAGTAAAAAGTTATGATGTGGTGATTATTATATTAATTATTTTTCAACTCAAAGTAACATAAGCTAAAATATGGAGGCAATAACTCTTCAGGTGCCAAAACATCTAGTGCTCATATCATATCAATGCATAACAAACATGCAAAACATATATCTCGCAACACACACACACCACAAAATCCAGAAACGAGACAAATCAGGAAAACAAAACTAATGGATGACAATGTCACTGCAGCTGCGAGAAAATGTAAAGCAGTAACATTAATATTTCATTAGTTTGTCCTAAATATACAAATGCTCTATACAAGTCACAAGATACGATTCAAATTAGAAGGTTCCCAATATGCTTCTTCTGTTTGATAATCCATCATCCATTAGGAGGAGGGTGACTGGTTGGTAACAAAAACATGTATTGTACCTTCACTGATGAGAGAACGAGATTTGCATGCTTTTCCTGGAAATCGTTAAGATCTTGGCGAACATTAGAGACTGTGGGAATGGAAGACATTTCTGAAACATCTGCACATCAAAGAAGTGAAAACTCAGAACTGTTGAGTATTGCTTGCATAAGTTCAAAAGATCAAGAAAATAACAAATAAAACATTACATATAGCATGAAAACGGCCTCCAAATGTTTTCAGGATAGTTTTAGAAGGTTACTATTTCGGAAATAATTAACAATAGGTTATCTCCCAAAATCTCCCAGAAGTTTATGTGCATCCAGGCTAGTAGTAAGTTCTAGCAATGTGAGATCAAACTTCTGCAAACGGGATAACGTGAAAATGTGAAATTGGTGGCTGATAGGCTTTAGGCATGATTATTACATTACAAATTACATTAACCTTAAATATACTGATTTTCCGCGGGCTATCATCCACACCTTGCAATCATACTCTCACCTTAAGCTTGAAGCCTGCTTGAAATGCTTTATCCAATACAGTACCCACTACAATCGAGGTACTTTATACTGAAAGAACGATCTTACTCAGTTTCGCGGCCGCCTAATGAAATGCAATTCTATGGCTGTCGATACCCTGGTATAGTATTCAATACCATTACCCAGGTACCCTTTAATACTACTATAAGCACCAACAGAAAAGATACAAGTTCATTTTTAACATTATTATAAAAATACAATGGAATGAACACATAGAGATTTAAGAAAACTTTGATTCTGCCACAAGTTTATCAGTCATCACAGAAACGAGATCACCTTTAATGAAAATCAACTAAAACTCGCACCTTGTAGAGGAAAATCCTGGAATGTATTCATTGTAATCCCCTTAACGAACTCTCTCAAATCATCCGTAACACCAAATCTTTCCAGATCGGCCGCAGTGGCAGATACCACCTCCTTCTGCGTGGAGTTAGTAGAAGACGAGTCGACGAGGTGAGATATCGCGGCGGCAGGAATTTGAGATGTGATCTGCTCGGCACGCTTGAGTGCGTCGACTTTTATCTGGTCCGCGCGCTTGGAGGCCTCAGCGACGATCTCCTTAGAGCGCTTAGAAGCCTCGGCGGCGATCTCTTTGGACCGTTTACCCGCCTCCAAAACAACGTCAGATAGCTTGGCGGAGCCACCAATCGTCAACTCTTGCGAGCGCTTAGCAGCTTCCTCGGCGAAGCTCCGAGCCTTCAGCCAGAAATCCATTGTCGTTCGCGAGAGGTCACGAGCATCAAATTTGCAGCATAGACAGAGTTCTAGTTTTCTTTCTTATTTTTTCTTTTTGTTAGAAAATTGAAATATGGGTTTAAGAGACGTTTTTACTTCATACTTAAAATAGACCAGAATGTGCTTAAACGGGCACAAGTATCTCTCTTCTGACTTTTGTACTATTCGTTCCGTCCTGAAAATCCCAATTTGACTTGGCACGTATATTAAAAAAGTGGAATAAAGTGGAAGTGTATAATTATGGTTGTGTAAGAAAAAGATGAAATGAATGTGAATCACACAAATTGTCCAAAAATGATAAGTGAGAAGAATTTTTTGGAACGACGCAAAAAGGAAAGTGGGAAGGATTTTAAGGGACAGAGGGAGTATTTAAAAAGCCTTTAAAAGATTCTACTTGTACGTTTGGCATGTTAATTTTTAAGAGCTTAAATAAAAATAAAAGATTTTTTTTGAGATGCTACGGTGAGTCGGTGAGTAGCATCCCCTTCTAGTAGTAATTAGTTCCAACAGCTTGTATACCAAACAGACCTAAATCAAACAATCAGTTTTTTATCAAACAGCTACTACCTTTTTCTTTTAAGATCTTTTCAATTACTAAAAGCTAACAGTTACCAAAAAGCTTATAAAAGTATTTTCTCAACTAGATGTGCCAAACATATTCTTAAGACGAATTAATAAAATATTAATTCATGACACGTGTTGTAGGGAGAATTGTTCGTATAGTTTCATTAAAGTCCCTATAAATAGGGATAGAGCGGGTTTACAAGTATGGGCCAATAGGTCCATAATACATAATTTACATAGAAAGCCTGTAATACATATTATATCTAAACAATAGCACACAACATAGAATTTCCTTCAAGACTCCCATGCGCTGAGTTGTAGATAGAATGTTGTATGTGTCTTGTTGCCTCTTCAAAATTCTGTCAAGTAACAAAAATCCTGTGGGGAAAAATAAACTTGACTGGAGAAAAATGAATATAGCATCAAGATATGCTTCTTTCACTGAGTCTATCTTTATTTGATCTTTGTTTTGATCATTGAAGTTTACATGTAATGTTAACTCATTAAAAATCTTACCAAGTAACAAAACCAAGTGGGAAAAATAAAACTTGGGTAAAAGAAAAGAGTGTAACACAATCTAGTTGGGGTACTCCCCCTCAAGTCTACATATACTCTTATTATTTACATTATTCAAGAGTTTTTGTAAAATATGTGCATTTCAATAATTGTCACATTAATTATCTTATGGATGGTGTACCCGAGGGGTAGCTTATCCGAGGGTTACTGTGAGGAGTAACTAGAGAGAAGTCAGAGCAATAAGTAAGAGAGAAAGTGTATTCGAATATATCGACTTGTGATGTTTTACAATGGGGAATGAGCTGCTATTTATAGCAGTAATAAATGCTATGAGAGTACATGTGTCATCAATCTAGCGGTCGAGGGGTCACCTCAATCAGGATGGCACCGGCAAACGCATGTGCACCGCATTAAATGCGGTGGGTGGATGTGACACCGCATTAAATGCGGCTGTTGCTTGTCTCCAAAGGGAATCTCCGATGTTTCTCAAGGTAGCCGAAGGCTCCCCTGTGGTCGGGGGCTCCGTGTATCCGAAGGCTACCCAAGCACTGAAGGCGTGCAGGAGCCGAAGGCTCCTGATTTCCGTCGTTTTCTCCCAGTGGGTTTGTATGCCTAAAATCAGTTGTCCTGTGAGATTTAGGAGCCCTCGGCCATGGGGCCAAAGGCACCCGTATGTGCACCGCAAGCTGTTCTTTGGGCCTCATATGCTTTTTTGGGCCTGTTAGGCCTGTGTTAGAGTAGTAGGAGTTTGTGGGCCGGGGGTCCCTGGTCCATATACTCCATCATTATCTTAGTGAAGGTACACAATAGAGGAATATAATTCCTTTAATTCTCCCCCTGTATGTCGAGCGTAGGGAATTTTCCCAAATTATTAACTTGCGAAAATGTTGCCATTGAACAAAACCCAATGGGAAAATATTAACATCGGTCAATGTGAAAAGGAAGTATGGTGCACTAATACCTACACGTCAATTACTTTTGACTGCGATATAGTAATTATGTTCTTTCTTCAACATTGTTTTACTTTCAAAAAATTAAAATGTGGGATGGTGCATATTATGTTGTCTCATCAAAAAAAGCTTACCAAGTAACAAAACCCAATGGAAAAAAATAAACCTTGATCAAAAGGGAAAAGAAAAAAGAAAAAAGAGTACAATGCACCAATATAACTCATGATAAATAAGTATGTAAGGACTCCCCCTAAATGCAACGCATCAATAAGAATTCGACATTTACTTGATATATACTTTTATCAAGGTATTCCGTACATAACATCTTGGTTTCTTTCATGGTAAATATATACTCATTTAAGAAAGTATCAATGAGGTAAGGGGATATCCATCATCGGTAAAACTCAAATCACGTTGCTTTGACTTAGAGTGATACTTTTGACATTTCCAATTCCTTTAGAAATATTATTATCATCAATCATTTAATTAATTTATAAGGGATGAATAAAGATTACTCTAATGGTTTCATACAGACATCAAATTACATTCTTGATACTATTTCAATGATGATATACGGTGTATTGGCCCTGAGCTATTTTCAGCTAACATGTTCTTGAGAATGTATTATTTGGTCGAATGTGTTTGTCAAAGTACAATCATTCACATATTGCACTTTAATAGGGAATTCCTTCTCCCAATAAGTTTCCAATAATGGATATATTTTCTAGCATCCATATTTCGACCAATCATGGGAGTGCTAACAGTTTACATTTATCCATGTTAATTTGCCTGAGAACCCTTTGGGATATATGCAACTGGTGAATTATTATTCAACCAACTCGGTGTTTTCAAAACAACATGAGTTTCCCAAGATCCTTTATCTCAATTATAACTTTCAAGTTTCTAAGATTTCTCATTTTCTTTAATATGAGTATATACCATGTCTATATCTTCGACATATAATGATACTTGGAGGGAAAACATGATCTATCTTTTTCTATCCCTTTTCAGTCAAGTGATCACTCAGACGGATATGTCACTCTCCATCTAGATTGATTTAGTCCAAATGTGAACATTTCAATATAAATATACAATGTAATTTAAAACCACTTGATTAAAGATAATAAAAACATAACAAATACTTCATATACGTCTCTTCAATGAAATTTTATTGAGACATTTAATAGCCACAATCTTTAGCTGCGTCTCCATTACTTTGGAGTCGACTTATAGGTTAAGTAGTTGAACATTTTTGTGTTCAAAATAGAGAAGTATAACTTTTCATATTTGAGTCCAAGACGTTGTGAGAATAATTAGGACCTCATCATTTATTAATTTAGGAAGCAAAATATATTATTTTAATGAGTAATATTCTTCTCTTGCTTTAAAATTGACTCAGAGCATATATTTATATACATGTGTTGAAGCTAATCTAATTACTGGAGCCCTTGGCCCGTATACACTAGCAAGATATATACAATAATAATAATTAAATTAGTAAGGCCCACATGGGCCTAATACCCCCCCCCCCCCCCCCCCCCAAGTTGGAGCATGAGGATCAAACATGCCCAAATTGCGTAAAAGATGCCTAAATTGTCATATCCCGAGAGCCTTTGTAAAGATGTCAGCTAGTTGTTCGGTAGTAGAAACGTGTTGAGCCGTAATCAGACCCTCCTATAGTGCATCACGAACATAATGACAATTCACTTCAATGTGCTTGTTACGTGATAGGCACTACTCGTTACTGCCTAAGTATACATTTTTATCATTGTTTGTAATGTTTATTTACTAGTATTACGCAAGTTTGTAGTTGTTAGTTTGCATTTGATTGTAATGTCATTTTTAGCATTTTATTGTTTGTTGTTAGTTGTAGTTAGTTGAGCTATAAGTTTAGGATATGTTTGGAAGCAAGAAAGATGAGAAAATCTGAGTTTTATGCAAAACCCGGTCGGGTTTGACCTTCACTCGGCCGGGTATGAATTGACAGAGGATGTTGCTACGAAAATAGTAAATGCCCGGTCGGGTATTCCCTATACCCGGTCGGGTATGAAGTGATTTCGGGCAAACAAACGTGCAGAAGAACACAAGAACATGGGAAAAGATCTGATTTGATAAATACCCAGTCGAGTATGCCAAATACCCGGCCGGGTATCCGGCTGTAGGTCTTGAAAACACCTATAAATAACCTCATTTTCCTTCACTTTTCATCATTCCTTCTTCCATATACTTAAGCTCAACTTAGAATAGTATTTTCTTTATATTTTTCTAGCATGTTTAGTCTCCAAATGAGGAGCTAAACTCTTCCATCTTGGTTTTGCTACTTTGAAGCTTGATGAATTGTAAATTGTGAGTTATTTTCTTTAATCTTCTTCCTTGAATATAAATTAAATCTAGCTCTATATTAATGTTGGGGAGTGTTGCTAAGATGACAATTAGTTAACATCTCAACGTTAATTATAGTAGCATTTACTTTCTTTAATCTTCTTCCTTGAATATTAATTAATTTCTATTCATATTTCATATTAATATTTTGAACATCACTTAAAGGATCAACTAGTTTTGTTTCATCTATTAATTATTACTAGAATCAATCGATTAATGCGCTTGTTATTAACTCGGTTCTTTCAACGGTAGTAAACTTGGATTATTAATGCATGTGTCTCATGGTTAATAATCTAAGGGAATTAATTATATTGATTAAACCAATAAACCGCTTGTGTTGAGGTTATCAATCTCAACCGTTTTCATCTTAAGTTTATTGCAATTATCAGGTTAATATACGGCGCGTGTTCTATATTGACTCGGTAGTAAGTTTTATTAATGAACGTGTCTCGTTATTAATAACTACCCTCGATGAATTGGATATACTCCTCGATTGAGTATTCAGGAGGAAGATAGTTAATGATATAACCGGGATTGACGAACATTTCATTAAGTGGATAAAAGCAATATCAAGCATTCATCTCTAGTTAATTAAACTACATAAGTCGTTGAACTTAGTGTTTAAATATACTTCAAGTTCAACAACAATCAAAAAACCCCATTTGTTACTGCTATTTAATTAAAAAGAAAAGTATCTC